GCGCGCGCCCGGCCCGGGAGGCCGGCGGGGCCGGCGCACCTGCGTCCCAGCCTCCTGGCTCCACACCGGGCCCCTGGTCACCGCTTTGTGCTTCTGGGCGCTGGTCCCACTCGGGCTGCACAGTGACCCGAGCTCATCCTCCGGAGGGCGGAGGCCTCCGCTTCCCATTTTGGCTTCCTTATGGGGCGATTTCTCAATCATTTCTTCCTTGCCAGAGCCTTCCGTAGAACCTGCAGCCACTCACACCTTCGTTCATTTAGTTTCCCTGTGCGTAGTCTTTGGCACCACGGCTCTGCAAAGAGGTTTTAGGCGGTAACAAATGGCCCACTTTGCATCACCCTGAATGCTGTTAGGAGACTAGTCTCTCGGGGAGGCCAGGCACAGACAGACCGAGCCATTTGTGGAGGTCGTGGTGGTTCAGCGGCAGAGATGTGGGTGGGTTTCTTAGACTACGTTGGTAAGAGTGCAGCTGGTGAGGTACATCGGAGCCTGCCCATATTATTTTAAGGAGATGAAACCTAAGAAATGGTGAATTCCATCAAGTTAATGGAAAGCGATTCCATGTTTTAATGGCACAGTTTCTAAAATAAATAAATTAAATACAGTGCAATTTAAAACAAAAAATAGGAAATCACCAGTGTGTGCGTACATTTGTGTGTGTAACTTCAAAAGCTGACTGCCAAACGTATATGGGAAAATAAAGAGCCTTAAATAGCCACAATTTTGAAGGAAAGAGCAAGGTGGCAGGACTTGTCCTACAGATACAAAATTTATTATGAAATCATGGTAAATAAGAGCAGTCATGTGGCTAGACAGTTGGAGGCAATGGGCCCCTATAGGTGCAGAAGAAATCTGCTGACTTGACCTCACAGGTCAGGAGAGAAATGTGAAATCCTCATTAAGCAATACTGGGACAAATGAATTCCCCAACGTATTCTGTATATAGACTTCAACTCCAAGTGAATTAATGATCTAAATATGAAAAACAAAACTCTCCAAATCCAAACAATATTTCATGGATAATTTGGGTAGTAGTACTCATCCTTAGAATTCCTATGAATATTTAGATTCTATGCTGGGATCAAAAAGATTAAAAAAGAATAAAAATATTAAAAAAAAAAAAGGGCCAGGGAGATGGCTCAGTAGAATAAGCACTTGCCTGTCAAAGGCAAGGGTCTGAGTTCAATCCCCAGT